TAAAACTAATAAAATTTAATAATAATTTAAAAAAAACTTAGTAAGCAAATGAATATAAAATAAAAATGTTATTTAAAAATTAAAAAAGAGAAAAAAAGAGATATTGCCCATCTTTCTCCTATGGTGCAGCTGGTGGATTCAAACCACCTGCCTTTGGATATGCAGTGTATCTCCTTAACCACTAGGCCACAAGGGCTCCTTACAACAATTATAAATTGAAGCATATAATAGGTCACTTTCCCGAATAAAATTAACAAAACATTGAATAAATAATTTCCATTTCTCACCAGAAAAAGATGGACAATCTCTTCCCCTTAAGATCTATAGCTTCGGCCATCTCAGAGTCACTAAGAGTCACAATCGATTGCAGTGAGTAGTCATCTTCCTATTTCCCTAACAAGTAGTACAGCTGATGTCAATATAATATTATTTGGATTTAGTGTTACAAGCATAACACTAAAAGTTTAAAAATAAAGATATACATTTTTTTAAGCAGAGGAAAAAATGAAGATACTATTCTTCCTCTCATAGGCCTGCATTTCATCAAAACACCAAACAAAAATTGGCATGCACTTAATGACAAAATTTAATAACTAGTATTTATTCTACTTTAATCTTAACTTCCAATAACATAAAAAGCATGCTTACTTGGCAATAAATAAATGTCTGAAATTAAATAAACACTATACTCAGTTTAATATTACTGGTTTTTATTAAATTATCTGCTCAGCTTTCATTTTAGGGTCAACACTGTGTTTGTGTATTTACTTATATAGCACAGTATTAATTTATTGGACTCTTTAAACATATTTGCCTTTGCCAACTCATCCCTTTTTTTAAGTCTCTACAGAAAGACTTCTTGACTAAGGGGCTGGCATAGTAACAAGATCAAGGAGGACGCAGGGTAAAGGAAGAATCGAATACAGTGGGTTTTAAAAAAAAAAATATAGTTAAAACAAGCACTACCGAAAGTCAGTAAATTATGCAATTACATTGTGACCCCAAATGTATAATCAGGCAAAGATGATGATGAAGATGATGATGACGATGATGATGATGATATGATGAAAGAAGAAAGAAGGAAGGAGGAGGAGGAAGAGGAAGGAGGAGGAGGAAGGAGGAGGAGGGGAAGGAAGGAAGGAGGGAGGGAGGGAAGGAAGGA